AAAGATTTAACAGCAAAAAACAATCAATGTAATTTGCCAGAAAACAAATTTGAAATATTGTATGACCAATGCAGTCAAAGCATCTGACACAGTCTCAGATGGTCTGTCCTCTCCTCAGATTCTATAAAGAGTCTGTATCTCAGGCTGTGGTGCTGTCTTTTAAATTAAGTCTGCTTGAGTCCTTTGAATATATACTAAACAAATATATTTTGATTTAATTTAAATGAAAGTTATGTGTACAAGTGTTTTGCCTGCATCTTTGCCTGTGTGCCATTTACAAGCCTGGTGCCCAAGGATCAGATCCACTGGCTACCAGAGTTACAGATGGTTGTGAGCCACCATGTGGTTGTTGGTGATCAAATCCAGGCCTTCTGAAGTGCAACCAGTGCTCTTAAATGTTGAACATCTCTCCAGTCCCATTTTGACTAGTTTTGTACCAATAAAATAAAATAGAAGAAGATAAAATAGTATATTCAATGTTTTCTTCTTATTGAATTACAAGTTAAATATTAATATCATATACATATATGATTTGTAAATATTTCCTCTCATTCTGTGGCTTGTCTTTTTACTCTGTCTTCATGGAATAGTAAGTTTTAAATTCTGATCAACTCCATCTTGTATATTTTGTCTTTCTGCAGTGTGGTTTTTAAAATCAAATCTGACAAACTTAATAGAAGATCAAGAGTCGCACCTGTGTTTTCAACTAAGAATTTATAGCTGGTAAAATGAGGGCTTCACCCTGAGTTAAGTGTGTGCTTATGGCTATGCAGCAGTCTCATTTTTTTCTTTTACACATGGGACCTCGCTGTTCCAACACTGTATGATCTTCTCCCGCTATCCTAGAATCACTGTCAAGAATGAACTGGCCACACTGAAAGAGTTTACTTCTGTCCTCTCAATTCTATGATCCTGATCTACAGGTCTAGCCTTTCAGCAGAACCGCCCTCTACTGATTACTATAACTTAGCAGTATGTTTAGAAGTTTGAGTCTTTCAGCTTTTCCAAGATTTTTTATTTTGCATATATATATGTGTGTGTGTGTGTGTGTGTGTGTGTGTGTGTGTGTGTGTGTACTTCTTGCATTTCTATACAAATTTTAGAATCAAATTGTCAATGTTTATTTTTAAAGAGCCCAGCTGACAGTCTATTGAGTCTGTCTGCTTCGGTGTACAGCCATCTCAACGAGATTGTCTGCCAATCTATAAACGTGGATCTGTTTTCCATTAATTTTTGTCTTCCTTAACTTTTTTCAAAAATTATTTTGTTAGTTTTCAATATATGGAATTTCCATTTCATATTCAGATTGCTTACTGCCAGTGTACAGCACAGAATTCTTAGATACTGACACTGCTATGCAGCTGCTCTGAATGCATGCACTCGTTCTAATACTTTCTAGAAGTATCCTTAAGATTGTCTACAGAAAAAGCAACATACAAATGGAATGATCTATTCTTTCCTTTGAAATTCTAGTATCACTTTATTTTTCATCCTTATTCATTTGTTTAGTGACTGACTTGAATTATTTAAGTAGAATATTTCCCCTTCTCTCATATTTGTATAATCAAATTGTATATGGAGTATCATGTTCAGTCCACATTTAAAGAATACTAACAAACTAAATTAAAGCATGTACAGGGATAAGGAATGTCTTAGTTAGGGTTTCCATTGCTATGAAGACACACCATGACCAAAGTAACTTTTATAAAGGACAACTTGAGGTTTTGTCCATTATCATCAAGGCAAGAACATGGCAGCATCCAGACAGGCATGGTGCAGGAGGAGTTGAGATTTCTACATCTTCATCTGAAGGTCGCTAGGAGGAAGACTGACTTCTAGGCAACTAGAAGGGTCTTAAAGCCCACCCCCAAAGTGACACACTTCCTCCAACAAGGCCATATCTCCTAACAGTGCCATTGCTAGGCCAAGCATAGTCAAACCACCACATTCCACCCCCTGGCCTCCACAGGCTTGTTCAAACACATGAGTCTATGGAGGCCATACCTAGCCATAGCATAATACAAAAGTATTCAAAAGTCTGTAACAGTCTCAACAATGTTAAAAGTCCTAAGTCTCTTCTGAGATTTCACCTAATCATTTAACTATGATTCCTTATAAAATCAAAATAAAAAAAGCAGATCACATACCTCCCACATCTCATCATATACATTACCATTCCAAAACATCATAATGAGGAAATACTGGTCCAAAGCAAGACCAAAAACCAGCTGGACAAACTCCAAACTCAGCATCTCCATGTCTGATGTCAAAGCTCTCTTCAGATTTCCAATTCCTTTCATCTTTGTTGACTGCAACACAATTCTTTCTCTTTGGCTGGTCCCACTCCCTGTTAGTAGCTTTCCTCAGCAGATATCCCAAGGCTCTGGCATCTCTAATATCTTGGGTCTCCAAGGCACTTTCACAGCTTCTTTTTCCAATGTCTGGGATCCACACATTATCTTCTGAGCTCCTCAAAGGGGATTGGGTCACTTCTCCAGCTCTGCCCTCTGTAGCACTCTAGGCTCTGGTTGACTCCACTCCACTGCTGCTGCTGCTCTTAGTGATCATCCATCCCATGATACTGACATACTTAATTCACTGGAGTCTTCTGCTGTGGCTTCACCAATAGGCTTCCTTCATGGTGTCAAGCCTCAACTTCTTTGCATGACCCCTTCTGTCCTAGGCTTCAATTTCAACTGAGGCTGCACCTTCACCAATGGCCTTCCATGACCTCTCACAGTGCCAAGCCTCAGCTGCTCTCCATGACCACTTCATGTTGTCAAAACCAGTACCATCTGGGTGATTCTTATACATTATCAAGTCCAGCTGAAGCACAAGATATAACCTTGGCTATCTCTGGAACACAGCTGCTTTGTGCTCTCAGAAAACACTTCTCAGAAGATCTCACCTCAGTGATGCTGGTCTCTTCTTATTCACCACTAATTTCTTAGCTCCAGCTAACCAGCATCAATTGTCCCAATAGTCTCTTCTATTCTTGATTCTAAAGCCAGAGCCATGTGGCTGAAGCTGCCCAGTTCTGCTGCTTGCTGGAACTGGAACATGGTCCCTTTTTCTGTTACATTATCACCAGCTTTCTGTTTTCCAACTACTTCACTGTCTAAGGTTGGCTGTCCTGGAACTTGCTCTGTAGCTTGACCTTGAACTCAGAAATCTGCATGGCTCTGTCTCCTGAGTGCTAGGATTAAAGACATGTACCACCAAGTCTGGATCTAAGCCTTTTTTTTTTTTTTTAAACCTGGAATTTAATCTGTCCCAGGCTGGCCTTGAAATCAGAGATCTGCTTGCCTCTGTCTCCTGGAATTAAAGACCTGTACACCATGCCTGGGCCCAAGCTTTTTCATGGTCACTATTCCTCAAGAGCCGGATCAAAATCCTGTGTCTTCTAGCCTTAAGATCTAGATCACAATCGTGCACTCCATTTACGGACTGTAGTTCATTCCAGATTAAAAGTCCAAATGGAAACAATAACCAGGTAATAATAATGTCAAAACATAACTATTCCTTGCTCAGGTGCAAAAGCATAAACAGCAGGCTTAGCTGAGTGAAGTCCTGCCCCAAGTCATCGCTCCTTAAATCTGTTTATCTCCTTGAAACACAGGATTCAACTCCACTCTACCTCCTGGTGCCCCTTTAGTCTTCAAACTATACATTTTATATTTTTCCTTTTTTCAACTTCCTCATTTTCATCAAAATGCTTTTCAAAGAGTGAACTTTAGTAACCACACAACAGAATTTATACCAGAGTGTTTTGAAACTTCCTTTGTCCAAGCAATTTATTGGAAATCTCTTTACCTTAGCCTCAGGTAGACTCTTCAGACAATGGTAAAAAGTAGCCACATTCCTCACCAAAATATCATGATAACAGTCTCTCTAAGCCACATACTAAAATTCTCCTCCACTGAAACATCTTGGGCCAGGTCCACACAGTTCAAATTATCCTCAGTACTAGTATCTTCTACATTCCTACTAGGATAGTCCATTAAGCCCCATTCCTTCCCCAAATCCCAATATCCACAATTTCTCTACACAAAAGTATGGCAGGGTCTATCATGGCAATACCCCAGTCCCTGGTACTGACTTCTCTCTTAGGGTTTCCATTGCTATGAAGAGATACCATGACCACTGCAACTCTTATAAAGGACAGCATTTAAATGGGGCTGGCTTACAGGTTCAGAGGTGCAGTCCATTATCATCGTGCTAGGAAGCATGGCAGCATCCAGGCAGGCATGGTGCCAGATGAGTTGAGAGTTCTACATCTTGATCTGAAGGCAGCTGGAAGACTGACTTCCAGGCAACTAGAAGGGTCTCAAAGCCCACCCCCAAAATGACATCCAACAAGGCCACACATCCTAATAGTGCCACTCTCTGGGTCAAGCATATTCAAACCACCACAGGGGAAGACATCAAAATTGCAAAAAAGTCTTAAACTGAAAATGAAAAAATTATGCTAGAAGCATAGAAAGGACATTATATGGAAGCAGACATTACCTTAAGCCACAGGAAATTTTTAAGAAGTAGTCTAATAACAGCATACTATACTTTTATAAAACATAAGGTTTCCATTTTAAGGAAAAGTTTCATCCTGTCCCAACTGTTAAAACTCCCTCGTGTACTTTCTTTGGGAGGGGAGACTGAGTAGCTAAGCACCACACCTTTACAGTTACACCTAAGAAAGACGCCTATACTGAATAGAGCCATTTGATAAGATGAAAAGTACTTCTCAGGCCCACACTCCTAGAAAATGTTTACAAGGAAATCGAATGTTTTCTTAGCAAAGAAATCTTCTGAGATTGAAAGTACTTTCCAGAAGTCATGTCTTCAGTAGCCTACTTTATAACAACTGGGAAAAATGGGTTGCTTTGAACTTCCATATTCTCTCATGTAGTTGATTTAAAACACTAGCGTAAAGCAATTCACTTCCAAGTGTTCTTCTGTTATCTTTAAAAAAATTAATAAAATAATTGAGAACCAGAACTCACCAGAAGAAATCTTGCCAGCACCTTTATAGTCAACAGAGACTGCAGCTGTGACTCCATTGGCTGATCCCAGCTCACACACTGGGATTTGATAAGGGGGCCTCAGCTTGATTTCCATCTGCATATCGGACAGATTTATTTTTGTTGAAAGAGACCTGGGATTATTATATCGCTGCTTGGTCCTCTGAATGAAGTTATCTATGTAAAATAAAAATAAATTTCCTTGCAGTCATTGTTAATTAAATCATTTGAGAGTGTGATATTTATGGACATAAATTTCATAAAGTTAAATTTGTTATTCAAAACTATTCAGTTTGTCATGGGATTTCCAATATTACTTCTGTTTAACAGGCTGCTCTATCATGGAGTCATCAGTTCTACACTCTAAATAGTAAACCCTAGGATTAAATTACCAGAACTAGAGTCTACCTAAGTGTAGACTTGAAGGAATTACAAAAAAAACAAACAAAAAGGCAAAAGCTTTAATTGTCAACCATTGTCTTAATTTTTATATCCTTATCTCACAAAATATTCAATCTGTTATCAGCTGTAATTACATACAAATTATACACTACAAGCAATGTGGTTTTATAAATGTTTTCTTATTTCTTATACCATTATATAGTATGTTCTGAAGAATAAGTTTAAAAGAATCAATAAAAGAGGTTTCCTAAATATTTTCTAAGCAGAGTTTTATTTTTACTAAATCCACAACTTTGGCCAGACTTTTCTGGTTGAGCAAACTACTGCCCATAGGTCAAATCTAAACTGCTATTTTTATAAATAAAGTTTTATTAGGCAATAACTATGCTCATTCATTTATGTATTGCCTGTGGCAGGTTCCAAGCTGCAATATCAGAGCTGAGTAGTTGTGGCAGAGACTAGAAGGCCTTTAAAATCTGAAATATGTACTCTCTGATCTTTTCTAGCAAGCATTTGGCAACCCCTGTTCTACATTAAACAGACTATAAAAGATTAGCACATAAACACAAAATGGAGTAAATTTCTCATTGAGAATGTGTCCTCTGGGATTCATTCTTTGGACGAATAATCACAATCTCCTTCACAATGGAAACACATTTTTGTCCTAATAGATAACTAAACTAAGAACAACAGCATAGATCTTTTGCCAATTATTCTATAAAAATCAAAGTTGCAGAAGTTTCTCCCTTACTCCCCAATATTAGATGAAAATTTGACTGGAGACAGGGTAATAAAAAAGTACAAAGAATAAAACAAACAAAACCAGGCCCTTACCAAATTCAATGAAACAGTATGGTCTGACAGCAGTATTAGTCTTCATCATGTTATAAGTAGTAATGAACTCCTTCTGAAGCTCATCCAGGAAAGAGAAGGCGAGAACATTTGGATAACTTTCACTGCACAACATCATGTAGCTCACTCCCAGAGAGCTAATAAAACTACAGTGTAAAAAACATTGGTTTTAAAATTTCAAATTATATCAAGGTAATTCGTTGTTTCACAAGACTGATTCTATACACTATAAACTGCTGCTACAGTAGCAATGAAGATATTAACATTTATTATATATTCCAACAACAACTTTAAAGGAACCAACACATAATACTATCCAAAGCTGTGGATTTATTTGTATGTTTCCAGAATCATTATGGAGCAGAAAGCAAGGGGAAAAGCATACACATACGTAAACATCCAAGCAGCTTAAAGGCCAACCCTCCACAAAAGCAGGTGGAAACACAAATTAACCGTTTAATGAGTCACCTAAGTATCCTTTTATTGCACTGATCACATAGATGATATAGACCAGGAACAGGAAATCAATACAACATCCAGGCTATGGCTCCCACTTGTGTGCTATATACTACTAATCACAGCAATCTGTACTGCCAGCCTCATCCGTACCAGTACACTTTATTTTTTCAAATAATGTAGATAACGAATTTAGGCTCTCCCCCTCCCTCCCTCCCCCTCTCTCTCTCTGTGTTGGTGCACATCCCTGTGCATGCTCAGAGGCCAGAAAGTGTCAAAGTCTTCCTCTTCCATTTCCCATTTATTTCTTTGAGACAGAGTCACTGGAAGCCAGCAAGCCTCAGCAATCCTCTTGTTTCCACCCTTCTTAGAGCTGGGATTACAGGCATGTGTAGGACACCTGGCTTGTTACATGGGTGCTAGAATTCAAACATTAGTCATCATGGTTGTGTGGCAACAAGCACTCTTAACTGGTAAGCCATCTCTCTAGCACCCAGACCTTCTTTTCATTTAACTTTTGGAGTAAGTATGTTCACATGATTCAATTTTTTAAAAAAGAAAGAGTAGACTATGTACTGATCTTCTCTTATTGCCTCCCCTGTCCATAGGTAATCGATTTTCCTCCCCTTGGGCAAGCCATGTCACTAACTCTCTTTGTATCTTTTATAGTGGACTTCACACTTGTAGTAAAACTGAACTCAACTTATTACAGGAACCTGAAACTCCTTTTTAAATTCTAGAATTCCACTTGGAAAACAGTCATTTTTGTAAAATTTCTAAGGCATAAGACATAAAATTAATGTTAGAACATTTTGTGAAGAAGAGAGGAGGAAGAACAAGAAGAAATGGGAATATTGTTTTATAAAACATCTGTTTTCTATACTTATATACATATATATGTTCATAAAAGCAACTGTATGTCTTTTCAAGAATTAAAAACTTTAGCTATATAGCATATGGAATTTTCCTAAAGCTTAGTATTTCAATCAAAGGTCAGTATTTTGTTGTTTTTGCCCCTTTCACGGGGTAGGGTTGGGGGTGGGCACTGACAGGATTGCTAGCTACATAGACCAAACTAGTCTTGAACTGGTCTTGAATTTACTAGCTCAGGGTGGCCTCAGACTTCTGATCCTCCTGTCTCAGATTCCCAAGTGCTGCGATTGCAATTAGGTGCCACAAAGAACAGTCTAAAATGTATTTTCTCAAGCGATTTCTTGTCTCAAAATAACTTCATTATCAAAATTCTTTGCCTTATCATTAGCATTTGGATAAACTCCACAACGGTTTGAATAACTTGGACACAATGAGTAATTGGCTTTCATCCATCCAGAACTCCCAACTATTTAGAAACAAGTTATTTTGTTATCATCTAATAATATGACTGAAAAATTTTTGGACCACATTTTTAGTATTATGTCAGTTTTGCTGTACTTTTCTTCATGAATAGTTCAACAAGCCACAGATGCCTACTGCATAGTTTATGGCAAATCTTGTTTAACTGGGAAATTTTGAGTGAGAATACAGAAAACCCTATTTTTGTTTTTAAAGATTATATGGTGGCATTTTCAGGACGTCATCTATTTGTAGGACACTTGCTGAAATGGCTATAAAACATTCTACAGTCGACTTTCATAGTAAACTTAGCCTAATAATTCTTTCTCTGAAATGAAAAACAGCTTCCTAACAGTACAAGCCAGCTCTGTTAATCAACATTTATAATAAGAATAATAATTGCTTTTTCAATTGCTGTAGGGCCAGACAGAGATTCTTACCATCTCACTCAAGACTACTTAAGAAACAGTCTAACAGCACTACAAAGTGCTGTCTGCACTGTCCACCTGTCTCACTTGGTTCATGGTCTATATACAGGCACCATGCTTTAAGGAGGAAGGAGGGGGGAAGAGAAAGTTCAGAGTAGCAACGGTAACAATAGTAAGTACATTTACTGACCACTCAGTGGAGCTGGGACCTCTGCTCAATAGTCTACATAATTTTTCTTAATTTACCTTCACAACAGAAGGTTCCTACTAGATCCATTCTGGAAATGAAGAGCCTCAGAGAGGTCAAGTAGCTAACCCAAGGCCACATGTTTAAGAAGCAGAGATGGTGTGGCTGCAGGTATACTCAGCTGACAGAGTACTTGTCTAGCTTATGTTAAGTCTTTGAACCCCAGCAAAACTAACTAAGATGGGATAAACATCTTGCTCCAGAGTCTATAATCTATCTACACACGTCAACTTTCATTATATCACATTCTGTCACTTGTTCTCAGTCACAGAGCAGTCTGTGGGATTTGCTTTGTTTTTCCCACCTAAAGTGCAATGAGACTTAGGGACTTTAGACCTTGTGTGCGTGCGTGCGTGCGTGCGTGCGTGCGTGCGTGTGAGTGTGCGTGTGTGTGTGTATCCTCATGCCAGGAAACCTTTCCAATTTGTTCACTTTATCTTCTACAATTCTCTTCTTCCCTCTTTGCATTCCAAAGAGGCCTGTTTCAGAGCTTCAAGGATGCCAACCTACTCCCAGCCCAGTCAATCCCATCCCAAGAAGATTCCAGAACACAATCTTTTCCACTCCCCCTGTACTCCAAATCCGAAGTGGCTAAAGTCTCCTCTCCCACCTATTCTTAAAGGCCTTTGCAGAATGCATGATTTAAAACAGTGGTTCTCAACCTATGGCTCTCCACCCCTTTGGAGGTTGTATATCAGATATCCTGCATATCAGATATTTACCCTGCAATTCAAAACAGTAGCAAAAATACAGTTATGAAGCATCAAACAAATAATCTTATGGTTGAGGGTCACCCATGAGGTGACCCAACATGAGGAACTGTATTGAAGGGTCACAGAACTGCGAAGGTTGAGAACCACTGATCTAAAGTGAACCCACCCACCCTCACGGTCATAGCCTAGCAGCTCTTATCAACCATCAACTAGGTCAAGCTGTAAGTGTACATTTATATGTCTGCATTCCGCAACGTCTCTCTCACTAATAGCTGTACTCTAGGACAGCAGTGATGGTTTCTAGATTGCTCGCCATTGTATTCTTAGCTTCTGAAATACTGGGTCTGGTACATAATAAGTACTCAACAAATTAACAAATAAAGTAGAGCCACATAGGCCTCATTCACTTGCTTACAGCCTAACAGTATCTATACAAAGCCAAGCCTCAGTCCATCACTATCGAAAGCACAGAAAACATCGACTCTTCCAGTCACTGTTCTATTTCAGGTCAATTTATCTTCAACATATCCAAAACTGGGGACGTTCTCAGAGGCTCTCAACGGTAGCATCGAAGACGTGGTACTGCAGTGAGTACCCACAGATGACTATACAAACCTGCAGTCATGATTCTGCTCCCCTCCTCACTGTTATTACACACGCATGTGTGCACAGTCAATGGATAAACTCTCTTTTCTTTAACTTAAGCATGTTTTTGATTTTAGTTTTTGTTTTTCAAAGACAGGTCCTCCCATATCCCAGGTTATCCTTAAACTCTTATGCAGCTGAGAATGACTTTGAACTTCTGATCTTCCTGCTTCCCTCCTTGAATACCTGGTTTATGTGGTACTGAGGATCAAACCTAGAGTTTCAGCTACACCCTCAGTCCACTGAGTATAATTTTTTAAAGATTTATTTGTGTATGTATGTTTCTGGATGAGTCTATATACAGGTGTTCAGGTGTGCATGCCTAAGCACAAAGAGGCCAGAAAAGAGGGTCATTTCCCTCAGAATTGGAATTACAGGTATTTTGGGGATGCAGGATTTATAATGTAGGTGCTAGGATCCAAACTCTGGTCCTCATGATTGTGTAGCAAGTGTCATCTCTCCAGCCCCAACTGAGTAAAATTTATTTGATTTACATTTTCCTTCTCTCTCTTCCTCCCTCCCCTCCTCTATCTCTATCTCTTTCTTCTCTACCCCTCTCTCTTCTCTCCCCTCCTTCTTCCTTCTACCTCTCTCAGCCCTGACTGTCCTACAACCCACTATGTAGACCAAGCTAGCCTCAAACTCACAGAGATCCACCTGCTACTGCTTCTTCCTATCGAGCCCACCCCACCCTGTGCTGAGATTAAAAGGCATGTGCCACCACATCCTTTTTGAGACAGAACCTTAAACTCTTTGTAGCCCAGGTTGGTCACATATTCACCTTCTGGCCTCAGCCTGCTGATCCTGAAATAACAAGCATATGCCACCATACCCTGACAATTAAAAAAATATATTTAACATGTGTCAGTATTTTGTCCACATGTATATATGTGTATCATGTATGTGTCTGGTTAGCACAGAGGTCAGAAGAAGGCATCAGATCACCTGGAACCAGAGTTATGAGTGGGTGTGAGCCACTATGTGGGTAATCTTAACCACTAAGCCATCTCACCAGCTCCCTCCAATTTTCTTTTTTTTAAGTTTTAACTCCTCTCTGTTTCTGGGCTTTAGTTCCAATAGTTGGCATTTCTAGCCTCACCTTTCTTCTGGCCAAGTAACTTAACCAAACTTCAATATATCTTTGGTCTTCTCCCCAGTACAGACATTAGGAACTTAGTCCTTTGAGATTCAAGTTTAGTAAGTGACACTGAAAGACACACAACTTCTGGACCAGGGCTCTGCTCTTTTTAATCACTTTGTTACAAAGCTAATTCTAGCATATGTCACCACAAATGACTTCTAAATGAGTGATTTTGGACATAAAA